GTTTGCAGAATAAATTCTTCTGTGAGTGGATCTCTGTAGTTCACCGCTTTGTCCCAGAATCGTTTGACAAAGACATCGACCGATTCCCCATCCTTCTGTTTCTCATCCAACAACGTGCCAATTGAGACCTCTGTGTCGTCGTCGAAGAAATTGGTGAGGAATAATTCTTCCATATCCTTCCAGCTAGTGATACTCCCAGGTTTAAGGCGTCGGTACCAATCGAAGGCAGGCCCCGCGAAGGGTTCCTACGAATGACCGGACCATCAGGGCTTCGTTCCCGGATATTGCGCCGAGATGCGACTTGAAATAGATCAAGTGCTGAGTGGGTGAATCCCTGCCATCAAAAGGAGTAAAGTTAATCAAATTAAATTTTGGGGGATAAGGAATCAAGTCCCACTCCGTCGGGTATGGGTATGGAATGCCCGTTTTCTTCACTTCTTGAGCCGTCATCAGAGCGTTGACTTTGCTCTCGAGATCGTGCATCTTCTTGTCCTCTTCTTCACTCTTTTTCAAGTAGATCTGTGGCGGCTGAGTAGATGACTTGGCCAGGCCGCTTCCGGAATTATCTTTATCTGGAGGAGGATCGTCGAAGATAGTCTCATCTTCTTCGTTACGTCGGCTAGACTCCGCTCTTTGGCTTAATTCCGGTTGATGTTGTTGAACCTGCAAATCTCGCATCTGCTGCATAGTCAACTCTATCTCGGTCTTGAACTCAGCTTGAATTTCTTCGCGTTGTTTAGCCAACGCTTCTTGTAGTATGTGAGCCAGTTGATCCGGCGTGATTGTAAATGATTCTCTGATTCGCCCTACACTAGACGCGGTACTGTCTGAAGCTACAGCAGAATAAGTGTCTGACAGTTCTTCATCTGAAGATAATCCTTCGTGCATCCTTTTGTAGTCTCGACGTCGGTTGGCTCTTCGTTGTAACCGCGACATCCTTTGAGAAAGACCCCGCTCAACTCTCCCTCCCGGAGAGAAATCAGGGTCGTGGTTAGCTGATCGTTGCTTTCCTTTGTTGGTCATGTTGATAGTGACCTCAGGTAATTCACCTTGTCGGATTACAGGTTTCTTCTTGTTAAAACGTCTCATTTTGGGTCTTGACGTTTCATTAGATAATCTTTGAAATACGGAGACTCTTGTTGAATTATTTTTAGAGCAACCGCATTCCGTCAATACTGCCTTAATGAGCCTCTCGCATGCGCAATGAGACTCATCTTCTCGGACAATCCTCTTTCTTGAGTTATTTTTCTGATAGTACAACTCATCATTATTATGATTCGAGCAACCTATCTTTCGCTTCTGAACTTTGTTAACGTGCACAGGGCGACTGGTCGTCGCCTCTGCGTGATCTAAAGTCAAATTTTTAAATACACCCCCATGGGGGTGTGGAGTTTTCATAGGTCCTAAACGAGAATGAACTGGTATTCTCTCGTTTTGGACTGGTGCAGTTCTGACAGGAGGGTGTTTTCGACCCCCTGCATATGAAACCACTAAGGGTTTATTTACAGGATCTGGTTGTTCCTTGACTGGGGCTTTGCCTCGATTGTCAACTGAAGGACCGAGGCGATCCGCCATTGTGATCTTAAACTTAGACAAATCTGGGCTAACCCAGGGTTTCACTGATGATGCAGTAGACGGGCCTGGAACAGATGTTTGCGGCGTCTTCGGCATCCAAACTCTACGGTTCTTCGGTGGCTTTTCAGACACCGTCTCCTTCTTGATTCCTTGTGCTTGTTGACGAAGAGCGCGAGCACGGGCGGCCTTCGCCTGACGCTTTTGTATCAGTTCCTTAAGGGTTGAGCGAGCCCTTTTGACGAGGGTCCACTCCTCCGTCGTAAGCTGTGCAGAAATATGATTATTTTGCCGTTGAGGCAACTGAGTCATTTTTTGTTTCCTCGACTCTAGGTCCGCATAATAATGGACCCCGTCAGCTTATTGCATGGTCTTAGCCAATTGATGAGCACGGCGCTGGCGCTGTCTCTGACGAGCCCTCTTAGTCAACACCGGCGAGCTATGATTCAATGACTCCTCAATTGGTACGGAGTCATTTGGAGCAGAAACGTTGCAGGGAGATTCCTTAGCAACGATCGGGCAAGAATCTTCACCTGCGGTCTTCATTAAAATTACAGACTTGAAAGTTTTCTTAGAAGACGAAATCTTCCTATATTTGCGAGACGAGGAAGATTTCGCAGATGAGGATGACAAATACTCCTCAAACTTCGCCTGATCGAACTCATATTCGATCTCTTCATTGACAACGATCTTGATCGGTTGCGACACCGCGGCCTCGGCAGCGAGGCCGCTGGCTCCCACTGTGGTCGCCAGCTTGTTTTCAGCAAAAGTTGGTTCTGTTGAGGAATTCATTATATCTTCGTTTGATTACAATAAATTCAAAGAAATAGTCTTTTTATAAGACATTTTCTACACAACAAAGCAAAAATTACAACTCTTGAGAAAATAACACAAAAATCGTCTATCGATTCTTGTTTTTGTGGGACTTTGCCTGTGCCGGGAACGCTTTGGTTCGTGGACCGCCGAATCACAGATCGTGAAGGGGGCTTTATGATTCTTCCTTCGTTTATCGAAGTGAGAATTTAAAACGATATCTTATCAAAGTAAGATAGTCGTTCTTCTTAAAATCAAGTCAAAGCTCAATTTCAAGGAGTTGCAAGAAAAGAACTCAAATCTCTGCTCTCTCTGCTCTGGAATGCTCTAACAAATGCTCGATCCTCGTCAGAAGTGACCCTAGGGGGGTATTTATAGCCTCAAGGGTCAGTAACTGCAAAAACTTAACAATCGAAGAAGTCAGTCTGTCTCGCTGGCGAGACAGCAAAGTCTGTCTCGCTGGCGAGACAGCAAAGTCTGTCTCGCTGGCGAGACAGCAAAGTCTGTCTCGCTGGCGAGACAGCAAAGTCTGTCTCGCTGGCGAGACAGTTCATATCTGTCTTGATTTTCCAAAAATAGTATGAGATCAATTCTTGTGATTTTTTTGAGTGATCTTCTCTATGTTTGGGATATCTATTAGCATTTTTTGACGCCTACAATGTTGTGTTTGGCAAAAACATTGCAGGCGGTGTAGAAAAAATAAATCTGTTGAAAACTTGGGCTTTGAAAGCAAAAACCAACAATGCACTGGAGCTTGCCTTTGAGTCAGATAAGAGAATGCATGAGCTTGATTCTTTGTTAACAAGTTTCATAGAGAGGGTTGAAGAAGAAGCCAGAGGGTGTCAAGCAATAGATGCTGGTAGCAGCCACATTCCTGACTCAGATCTTCTATAGATACCTACTTCACATATAATTCAACATATTCCACAAATTACAATTCGTGACCCGGAAAAGCAAGCAAGAACCAAAGGTCGTCCACGCAATGCTACAAGAATTAAATCAACTTTAGAACAAGCACAAGAAAAGAAAGAGAGGCAAAAACGTACATGTAGTAGATGTGGACAACTTGGGCATTATAGGACTAGCTGTACAGTTAACAAGCCCAGGTATGTTTAATTACATTGACAAGTTAAGATATTTTATTACTTTAATCATATTATTAATTTTAGCTTTGATATTTTATGCAGCGAAACTGACAAACAAGACTAACGAACAAAGTTTATGGAGATGCACTTTTTAAGAATTGGGGATGAAACTTCATTTTGCCTTTGATTATATTGTAGTAATGCAATAGTTTCAAATCTGATATTGTATTTGTTAAAATTTTCTTTTAGGTTGGTGGACTTCACAAATTTAGCTACTCACAAATTCTGCAGCGTATCAACTGAATTAATGGTGGAGAGTTGGGGTCTAAGGCATTGCTGAAGTAGAAGTGAAAGAAGAGAACCTTAATCATATTTTACTTGAACGTAGATTTGTTATTAATAATTCACATGTAACTTTTTCTAATGTTAGTACTATTTTGTCTTAGAGTCATAAGTTCATTTCATCTAATGGTCTTTTAGTGGGGGTTTGCTGTGGAATGCTTAATATGAAAGAAGCCTACAAATATTCCAACAAAAGCAGAAACATGCTCCGGATTTGTTACATCAAATTACTAGTTTTTCTTCATTTTGCTTAAGTTATCTTCCTTACAGGTATGAAGTGACATTGAACCATGCAAGGAAGAGGAAGAGGTCAACCAGGAATAGGGGTTGGGATTGATTCCACTACAGCTTCTACAGGTTTACAAAAAAAAAATGCTTCGAGATTTCAAAAGTTATTTTTGTTTGGTGGTGTTTCTTGAGGACTTTATGTGATATGAGATGTTGTATTAAGACTCCGTTAATTTAGTACTGGGGCGTGTTTCGTTATTATCATGAGAATATCATTTATGTGAGGATTTTTGGTATGTAATTTTGGGGTGATATATGTTATTTCGACTTATATATGTTTGTATCGGTGATATATGTTGTTGTTGTTGATTCACCGATTATGGTAACTGGTTGTCATCGTTGAAAGTAGATGGAACAATATCTTGCAGAAGACCGTAGTGTTGATGAGGGAGTTGGCCAAGCTGATGTTGTTGTTGTTGTTGATATTAATTAGTTGGGGATGGAGTTGGCCAAGCTGATTGTATAAGATTCTGCAGGTAATTGTTGTTGTTGTTGTTGATATTAATTAGTTGGGGATTTTGAAATTGTTGTTGTTGTTGATATTAATTAGATGAGGCATCAAGAGATGATGGTGATCTTGATGAAAGCTTGGAATACAAATTAAACTATGGATTTTGAAATACAGATCGATGTCTACCTATAGACTTCTACTCAGGTGTAAAAGTCTGAAGAAATTAACTTTTGAACAACAAATGCTTCAAATGGTTTCATGCATCCACAGTAGTAAAAAATATACAGATTCTCAGGTGTAATTTCTTCGCAATCTCTAAAACTAGCATCTATTACGAACAATTCCAAAATAGCACTGCACAATTCCAAAATAGCACTACACTGATGGAAGAAACTAGGGCTAGATGATCACCTGAAAACAGTCATCTGATAATAGTCTGAAGAAAGAGAAAACACAACAATACCTCAGTCATTTACAATTGAACCATAACAACTGAACCATAACAATTAACCATAACCAGTTTGAACAGTCGTTTATAATAGGATATTTGGATACATCAGTCATTAATGACTGATATGATGCTCAGTCATTTGACTATAACGCAAAGCAACAATATTAGTACAACGATACTTATAAATTTTAAATATAAAATTACACCATTCAGCATTTTTTTCAAAACCTTAACATTTTTTTCCAACATTTCCAGCCTTTTTGTGATGTTCTTATCATCACCCACCCATTCGAAGAAGTTGCAACCCTTGCAATTAGGTCCCTTGTATCTCGGGCATCCATAAAATTCCAAGCCCTTATTGTGTCCCTGCTTGCACATCCATATTCTGCAAATTAACCCACAATAACATCTTCTTTAAACTAAACCCTCATCATCTTCTTCACTGAACTCTTCCAAAAATTTCTTCATCTTTTATCTGCAAAAAACATACCACAAACAAGATAAAATTCATACAAAAATTATACAAAATTTTTTTTACTGATGCTAAAATTTCACTGAACATATCGTCTCTTCCATTAGCAACTTGATTTTGATTTTGATCTTCATGGTTCTAGCAACTTGATTTTTTTTCACAAAAAAAAGACAAACCCTGTAGATGTCTTTCGCTCTGTACAAAACAAACAGTAACGGACCATAGTAAGAATGATTTGAAGTAAAACTAAAACACCCATCTCTGACCATTTTTTTACTGCACAACTCAAAGGAGCACTGGATTCATTCTGTTGAAAGAGTTACAGCTAGGGAGGGGGGAAAATTAAGTGGATTTTGTATCAAGTTATCGTCTACGCTCTGTAGTTAAACCGACTGAGAAGATCATTAAACACTAAGCACAAGAATTTAATAGCTGACCATGCATCATACAAGGCATCACCTACACAATGAGGTTCATTAACAACATTTTGCAAACAGTTGTTATACCAGTGACCAAAAATTCACAAAAAGTAAAAAAGAAACCAAATGTTACGAGTCGTGCCAGAGCTTCACACAAAATGTTAACAACAGAGAATCACATATCCTTGCAGTTGGTCATTCATGGTTTCTCCTTTCGTTGCATATCATAAAGTACACAAACATCTGCTACTGTTTTCAACTGGAATAAACGGGGTCAAACATTAGTCTACCGCACGTAATAATATCCACTGATTTTGTCAATTTGTGCTAATGAATAAACGGGGTCAAACATTAGTCTACCGCACGTAATAATATCCACTGATTTTGTCAATTTGTGCTAATGATCACAGTATCGGCTGGACTTTTGAATGATCTGAACTGTTAATAAAAAGAGCTTACACGCATAGCAAGAACAATTTAGAAGCACACCTAGATGTCATATATCACATTTCACAGAACTGACTAACTAGTTATGCCAGCTGATAGATCTAGTTTGATCTGCAAACGCCAATAATACGAAATCGACACTCATAGAATAAAATCATGAAGAAACTAAATCCTAATCACTCACTAAATTTTAGCATCAGTTAAATTTTACCAAATTACTAAAAACAAATTTTAGCAATTTTGCCATTTATTAACTTTTGATACAGGTTTTAACCCCAAAATTGAGATATTATCCCCAAAATGAATTAAAAAAAATCAAATAAACAAAATTGAGAAACTTCACTGGTCAATTCTTGTTATCGAGGAAGAATTTTACCGTGACCTGGAGACTCAAGATTGGGTTCCAATTTGTCGATTGCGTCGGCTAGGGAGGTGGCGAGAGATGGGGGAGCACCTAGAGGAGAGATCTGGTTCCTGCACTCGAGCTGGGGGGAGCACCTGGAGGAGGAGCGGTGCTGTGGTTCTGGTTCCTGCGTTCAAACTGGGGGAGCGCCTGGAGGAGGCTGATGATAAACCGACTCAGATTCCTACCATTAAGGTGGAGCTCCCGTATATTTATTTGATGGCTTGGTTTGTTCTTCATCGTTCCGATGTGATGTCAATATCGAATGCCATAGACCAGTCTGTCCCCTTTCTACAGTTGCTTGAGAATGGTGAGTGGGAGGGCCGAGGATTCCCCGATATCAGGCGTCAGCTACAAGTCCACAAGTGCTGGGCATTCTCCACTTGCTTTCCACAGTTCTCCAGCCGGTACGGCGAGTGTTTGATTGATGAGGAGAAGCCGAGGGAGTATAGGACTTATCTGGATATGGGCTGCTTTAATTGGCTAGTGAACATTAGGCCGGGTTACCTGACTTTCCGGGTGGGGAACCAGTGCTTCATAGAGCCGTATCTACCTTGCCGATTCGCCCGCCAGTTCGGTTATGACCAGCTTTATGTTGGGAACCCACGCCAGCAGCTTCGGGCTCATGGAGGTTTGGTGGACGGTCTTCGTGCATGGTTGTGGACCGTGACTGGTTGCACTGGAGTTAGGTTCAGTCTCCCAGGTACTGAGCGACAGTTGAACCTCACTTTCCTGAGCTGCAAGTGGTTGCTAGCAGCTAATAAGACTGTCCGTGTGAAGCCTATCACTCATGTGAAGAAATCTCCACCCTCCATTCAAATTAAGGGAAAATTGCTTGGAGGAACTAAAAAAACTTGGGCTATGCATCCTCCTCCCTAGACCAAAAACCAATGCTTCCCAGTCTTTATACTGAAAAATAAGTGCAAGTAACCCCCTAACACTGTACAAACCCACTAGCCAATAAATTCATTTCCAAATTACCCTTCCCAATTTAAAACCACTCAAAAACTAATCCCACCATCCCCTTCTGAGTGCGATTTTTGAAACCCTCCTCTGCAAGCTATTTTCCCATTCACTCTTCCTCCACTACCGACAGCCAACCGCTGTCAAGGTCTCGCTTCCCTACTGCTGCCGACAAGAACCCCTACTGCTCGTCGTCTTCGTCGACTCTCCTTCAAATCTTCCTCCTCGTCGTTCGCCAACAAGGACCCCCACTGACTGCAACCTCCTCGCTCACTGGAGTCCCTCTTCTTCACCAAACCCTCAGTTTGCTGCTGAAAATACAAGATGTCGAATTCATCATCCGAGTCATTTGAATCAGCAACAATAAGGCCAGAGTTGTAAGTATCAACTGAATTATCCACATTTGTTCATTTAATTTGTTTGGCATTGTGAATTTATCCGCATTAGAACCCTAGGTAGATTTAGTTTCTCTTGTGTTGTGTTTTACAGTATGCGTGATATCAGAATATGTTAAAATATACGTGGATATTGTGAATTCATGGATGGAGTTGTTCCACGAATGAGGGCCAAACATTAGAAGGCTTTTGGATCCTCCAATTTCTAAAACTATATTAGTTTTGGAGCAATTCCATCCGACAAAGCCACAATCATGCTACTGCTAGATCATCTAGATTTAGCTACGGGAAAGTTTTTTTTCAAGGATGGCCAAACGGGGACAAAATAAGGCTACACATTTGATGTAAATTGGGTGTTAAAATATACCCGGTTTAAGGATGAAGGGGAGAAACCGGAAGGGAATCGCGATACGTCGAATAGGATATTGAGTACATATTTCAGCAACAAGCAACAAGAAAAATACAAGAGTGGCCGAGATTACATTGAGGCATTATTGGATAAATTGGTTCGGTTAAAAAAAATCATATGTTTTTTTATTTTGTTATGCTTCAAATCCTCTATCAAAACACAATGATATGGACTCCAACCGCTAGAATGAATGCACCGCGGTATATGTGGTTGATTATTTTCCATGGGCGACAATCATCTACAATGAATTGTAGGACTCTTTCAAAGCTGCCAAGATAACTAAAAAGGGGCAGACATATCTTAACGGCTGCCCTCCCTTGCTATCGGTGAGTTATCTATATTATTTGGAATTAATATGTTGCATTTGCACCTTATCTGTGATCATTGACATTTACATGTGATATTTCACACTTATATATGACGTTTGTGCCCTATATGTGATATTTGTCCCTGTTATGCATTGTTTCATTATGATATTTGTAGTTAATATGTGATATAATCTCCTTTTATGCGAGTGTTATTTTTTACATATGATATATGACACTGGTATGTGACATATGTGCCTGATATGTGACATTTTTGCCCCATATGTGACATTTGTCCCTGATATGTGTTGTCCAATTATGATATATGTAGTTAATATGTGATATTATCCTTTTATATGTGATTATTGTATCTAACTTCTGACCTCTGTCTTTTACACGTGACAATTGTATCTAACTTGTGATACTTCTGACCTCTGTCTTATATGTGATCATTGACATTTACTCTGGTTGGATGTTGCATTTTTAAAGCCATGGTACTATGAGATTACAACCATCAAGGAGCCAGCCAGAGTAAATGATTCCAAGCCACCAATGACAAATTGGACATTGGAAGGTAAGAAGGTGGGTCCGTTGCGAACTGCAATGATTATGAAGAAGTCGGAAGCCGTAATCCACATCTTACCGAAGCAAGATATGCTGCGATATGTCCATGAGGAGATCAAGCAAGAGCCTAGAAAGATGAAGGCCAAAAGAGAGGAGGAAGTTGACTCTGAAAGCTCCTTAAGAAAGAAAATAGTTAAAAAAGAGGCAATGAGTCATTCGACTGTTGCATTGGCGAGATAAGTTTAATTCTTATGTGATTATTGTTTACATTTTTGCTTTGGTAATAGTTTATTATGTGAGTATTATTTATTGCTTGTGACTGTTATACGTTGACTGTGATAATAAGGGTTAATCTGTGACATTTAACTATTTTCTGTGATATTTACATGTAGACTGTGGTACATTGTTATATGTGCCAATTGGTTATAATATGTGATATTTGTCAATTTATTATGATAGATGTAGTGTTTATGTGAACTTTATGTGTGACCTTTTTATATGTGACATTTCATCACCGAAAGTTAATTGTTAATGTAGATCGAAGATTATGATAAGCTGTCATTATTGAACGAAGCCTATGAGCAAGAACTTATTGCTCACGGTGTTGATACGATGGCTATTAATGTGATATTAGGAATTTTTTTTACAGAATAGTGTAGGCAAATAAAATTTCCTTTATTCCTAATAGAGAAATTCAGAAGTTCGCCTGCAAGAACATTAGAAAAAATAGTAAAAAACGAACAAAAACGTGGATATCTCTCAAACCAAAGGCAATTTGGCAAAACAGACATTGACAAATCAAACTTTGGTCGGCCCCGTCTCGTCGAGATAGTCGATTTTTATATATAATTCGTCTAATTCTGACTTACGGTTTGAAAGTTATAACCCGTTCTTCACAGTAAGTTATGTTCCTCGATGCCTGAACTTCGCCTGCAAGATTAGGGTTCGCCTGAACCAAGCCAAGTCTACTTGTTCGCCTGAACATTCAAAGCAAGTCTGCCTGATAGTGTGACTTCGCTTGAATCAAATAAGCAAAGCTAGGTTTGCCTGAATACTTGACTCTGTGGACAAGGCCAAGTTCGCCTAAACATCAAGCTTCGCCTAAACGAAGTTAAGCTCACCTGAACGCTTAACTTACGAAGCTCACTGCATGTTCCAAACTCGTATGCATGTGCCAAGTTTGCCTGCAAGATCGTCAGGCTTGCCAACCTCGCCTGCAAGCTCACCTGAATTGTCAAGCTCGCCTGCATAGCTTGACCAAGTCAGCCACTAAAGCATGAAACATGGAAGTGGTTGTGCCCACTTTTCACGTTTTGAGGGGGTGATTACTAGCCATTCTCCTCTATAAAAAGACACTGATGGCTACAAGAAAATGGAGGCAAGGAGACGAACCTAGTATCTTGTGCACTCGGCTCACAAATATCCTAGCTTGGGTATTCAAACTCCGATAAAGCTTCTACCACGTGACGAAGCTTATTGGCAGTCTTGTTCGAATCCTCAGGAGAAGAGGACCAAACTTTGAGATCTTTGCATACTCGACCTTTAAGTAATCACGCACTTGTTCGACATTCGAACTCATCCAACCAAACTTCTATCACATGCTGAAGTTTGTCTGCAACCTCGTTCGAATCGTCAAAGGGAAGCAAAATCAACACGAGCATCGAGGGAAGCATCCTATCTCCCCCAAGAACCCACGTTAAACAAAGGAGAAGTCAACTAACCTTCTTCTCTTCTGTACTTGAGAGAAAGAGTGATTGTAAAATGACTCTTACCAAGCGATAGAGTCTTTTCCCAAAACCAATACAGTTAAAGGAATCAATCAAGTTTTTTTTAAAGACCCTACAAACAGAAACAAGGAAGGGGAAAAAAGGATGATGAGGTAATAATTGATTTATTATTTCACATGAGAAAATTGTAGATATTGGGAGGGCTGAAGTTAATTGGTTATTATTTTGACATTCTTGCAGCTTCAAATAGGGAGAAAAGATGAGGCAGAGAAAGAAGATGACCAAGTCCAAGAGATAGAGGAAGTTAAGGATGACAGAGCAAATATGGGCATTGAACTTGAGGAAGTAACACTTACTTAAATCATGATGGCCTCTTTGTTTTGATGATGTTTAACAAATAATTTACCACTAATGTTGTTTGTCTAGTATTGGTATATTTCTATTTATTGTAGACAAACAACGCGTTGGAGGATGGATGGAAGCGAGCATTCACGATCATATCCAATGGAGGTTGGTGGAATTGTGGAGTGAAGCCTACGTAATTCAAAGTTAAAGATTCAAGTTCAAGCTTCATCCGCAAGTGTACCAAGATAGAGCTTCGTTAAAGATCACAACTTGTGTAATTTAGTTTAGGTTCTTATATTATGTGTGTTAGTACTTTAAGACCAATCAGATAGTTTTTAAGTTTTAATATAAAACAATTGAATATAATTAGAAAACATATTTTTGTTTCATACTTACATGCATATATATGATTTCATCAATGTCAATTTTATTTAGTTCAATGAAATCATATTT